CGACCAATAAAACAAAGACAATATAAGCATATAAAATACAAGAACCATAATTAAAAAACAAGACAGCAATAAATAAAAAGTACCAATAAAACAAGAACAAAGCAATAAAAAGACCCAAATGTAAAACAGAACATAAAGCTCAATAAAAAACAATTAAAGCTCAAGATAACCCAATAAGCAATTAAAAAATAGATACCAATAAAAACTCAAAGAACAAAGCAATTAAAAGTACCAATAAAACAAAACAATAGCATAATAAAAAGACCATTATAAATAAACAAGACTAAAATAGCACAAATCACAAAAAACACATCAACAAACACACACAACAGAACAAAGCACAATCCCACAAACGGACCACTCAACACACACACAACAAGACAACAGGCAAATAACAAAAACAACAAACGAACACAAACATAAAAACACAGACAAAGCATAAAAAAGTAACTAATATAACAAAGAACAAATATAATTAATATAACGACCAAATAAAACGTAAGAACAAAATACAATAATAAAAAAAGCTCTCCAATAAAACAAAGAATCAAAAGCAATAAAAAAGCTCAATATAAACAAGAACTAAAGCAATTAAAAAGACCAAGTAATAAAATAAGATAACCAAAGGCAATAAAAACAATTAAAAACTAAAGAAACAAAGCAATAAAAAAGACCAATAAACAAGACACAAAGCAATAAAAAGACAATAAAACAAGAACAAAGCAATAAAAAAAAACAATTGAAACAATGGTAGCTCAAAGCGAATAAATAAAGGTCATAGACAAGAAACATAGGCTATGTGAAAAGACCAATTAAACAAGCACAAAGAAAAAAAAAAAAAAAAATAAAATACAATAAAAAAAAACAATAAAACAAGAACAAAGCAATAAAAAGACCAATAAAACAAGAACAAAGCAATGAAAGAATGAGACTCAATTGGTAGTAACGTGAAGAAACAATAGCAATAATAAAAATACATAAAAACGCTAGTAGAATCTAAAGCGCTCAATAAAATAGACCAAGTTAAAACAGAACTAAAGCGCAATAAAAACAGTAAACGTAGAAGGAACAAGGCAATTAGAAAAAACATAATAGTAAAACAGATACATAATGCGAGTGATAAAAACGACCAATATAAACTTAGATACATAAGCAATAAAAAACGAATAAACTGGAACATATGCTCAATTTAAAAAAGACCAATAAGAAACAAAAAACAAAGCAATAAAAAACAATAAAACGAAGAACATAAGCAATAATAAAGGACCGTAGTAAACTAAGAACAAGCAATAGAAAAAGAAAGAAGTGACCAATAAAGAACAAAATGCAAAGCAATATAAAAAAAACATAAAACAAGAACAAAAGCAATTAAAAAATACAATAATAACAAGAACCAAAGCAATAAAAAATAAAGATCCACATAAAACAAGACACTAGCGAATAAAAAAAGAGCCAATAACAAGAACACAGCAATAAATAAAAAAGGAGCCTCAATAAAAAACAAGAAGCAAAGCATATAAAAAAAAAACAATTTAAAACGAATGAACAAAAGGCGATATTATAATAGACAATAAAACAGAAGCACTTAGCAATAAATAGACCAATAGAACCAATGAAGACCAATAGCAATTAAAAAAGACCAATTAAGAAAACAGAAAACAAGTAATAAAAAACAATAAAACGAAGAACAAAGCAATAAAAAAGACCAATAAAGACAAGAACAAAGCAATAAAAAAGACCCAATAAACAAGAACAAAGCAATAAAAAAAACAAAGTAAAAAGAACAGAAGCAACAAAAAACAAAACAAGAACCAAAGCAATAAAAAAGACAATAAAACAAGAACACCAATAAAACAACAAAAAACAGAACAAAACAATAAAAAAGTCCAATAAAACAAGAACATGAGATAATAATAATAACAGACGAAAATCCACACACACAACAAAAATCCAAACTTAAACGAACCAAAAGAAACAATAGAAACTTAATTATACATGATGCGTTGAATAGTTAATTGGAGAGGCAATTTCGCTTCCAAAAGGGTTTCTTTATATCCATTGAACGAAAAAAACCGAAAGAGTTGAATGGCGTTAATGAATTAGTTATTTCATATTACGTAAGATGCAAGGGCCAATGTGCAATTACTGTACTTAATATTCCTGATACGATATGCATGGAAGTGCGTGCAATTGCATAGGTACGTTTTAGGATTTAACTATAACATACATGTGTTTACAAAGGCTACTGTGTGTATATGGAAATATTACATACATGTGTTTACGAAGCTATGTGTATATGGAAAACTATGTATACTATCAGCATGTGTTTTATAAAGCTTATGTGATATTAGATGGATAAATATATTACATTACGATGTTTTACCAAAAAGGGCTATTGTGTGGTAATATGGGGAAAATCTACGTATTACTATACACTGTAGTTACTAAAGGCATATGTAATAATGGGTAAAACGTATATTACAATTGACAGTGGTGTTTGGTGTTTGTAGTATATGCGCGGGTATGTGTGTCAGTTATTGGAAAGTGACTGTGATATTGTGTACGATGTCATTGTGGTTACAGTAAGCGCTAGTTGTGTTGATATGTGGAGAACTAGTGTATATCATACACGTAGTGTTTTATAAAGGTCATACACGTGATGTATATGGATAACTATTATAACATTACGATAGTGAGTTTATCAAAATGTACGTGATGTGTATATGAGAAACTAATTTATACATTAACTATGTGTTTACAGAAGGCTATGTGTATGATTGGGGAAACTCATCACTAACACAGCACGATGACATGCTATAAAAGCGTTAACTATAACAGCGCTAACATCGTGTAATATGCGAAACCTAACAGTACTACATACAATGCTGTTTACAAAGGCTATGTAGTATATAGGCAACCTATACTTAACATACATTGTGTTTCCAAAAAAGAATGGGACACTGTGACTATACTGGAAACATACTATACATACATATGTTTATAAAGGCTAGTGTCTATGATGCAGAAACTATATACGATACATGTGCGTTCACAAAGGGCATAAAGATAGACCAGATGAAGAACATATTATACCATACATAGTGCGTTATACACTAAAGCGCTATTGTGCTATATAGGAACACATATATACCATACCATGTCGATTTCACAGGAAGCCCTATGAGCTGTATATGGAAACATATATACCAATCACATGTGTTATAAACGAGCTATGCGATGTATATAGCATGCTGCAATTACGATACTTACGTTAGTCCAGTACTGATATACTGTGCATAAAGCAATGCAAAAAGGGTGCAGTTGGATATGCGGGATAAAGATGGTAGATAGATAGATAGATTGATACTAAATAGTAAGAGATGGAAATAGACAGGAGAGTGAATAGGCCAATATAATATAAATACGATGTAAAACAGAGAGCAATAGCATTAGTAATAAGCATGACTCTCTTCATCATCTCCGCTCTCCTCTACTGTCTGTCTGTACTGATCTCTCTCTCTCTTCTCTTCTACTCTCTCTCCTCGATCTCTCTCTCTCTTCTCTCCTCTCTTTCTCCTCTCTCTCTCTTTCTCTCTCTCTACTCTCTCTCTTCTCTCTCTCTCTTCGTCTCTCTCTCTCTCTTCTCTCTCCTCTCTCTCTCTCTCTTCTCTCTCTCTCTCTCTCTCTCTCTCTCTCTCTCTCTCTCTCTCTCTCCCTCCCTCTCTGTCCTGTTATCTGTCTCTCATGCCTGTATGTCGTCATGTCTGTCTGTCTGTCTTTCTCTCTCTCTCTCTTTCTCTCTCCCTCCCTCTCTGTCTGATCTGTCTCTCTCTCTTCTCTCTCTTCTCTCTTCTACTTTCTCTCTTTCTCTCTCTCTCTCTCTTCTCTCTCTCTCTATCATCTATCACTCTATCTATTTATCTCTCTCTCCCTCTTTCCTCTCTACCCCTCTCGCTCTCTTCTTCTCTCTTCACGAACAGTACCATCAATCTTCAGCCACTCACCCCCTTCCTCGTCCCTCCCTCATCCCCACCTCACCCCCAACAACCCCATCCCCCCCCAACAGACCCCATCCCCACCCCCAGCAGTGCACTTGACAGCTCCAGAAATACGGACGCTGTGACGAGGTCGATTTGCAGGCATTCGGACGCATCGTCACGCAGCGCCGCGTTCGGGAAGATAAGAGGGGGGATTATCGTACGTCTGGCCGGCGGGACTACGCGAAACACGAGGCTTAATGTTCATAATCACTTAAGCTAAAGCGAGAACAGACCAAGGAAGGGAGGGGGAGGAGTGGTTTATTGTGGGGGGTGGGCAATGGGCAAGGGTGGGGTATGTTAAGGGAAGAGCGAAGGATGGGAAGTGGAGGGGGGAGGGTATTGTGGGTTGAGGTGGGGGCAATAAGGGAAGGGGAAGGCAGAGGGGTGAGAGGATGAGAAAGGGAGGGGGAGGAGAAGGGTCTAAAGGGAAGGGGAAGGCGAAGGATGGGGAGGGAGGGGACAGGAGGATATTGGAGGGGGGGAAGAGAGTGTATAAAAAGACAGGGGAAGAGGAAAGGGAGGTAGGAGGGTATAGGCAGGGGAAAGGGAGGTAGGAGGGTGCATGGGGAAGAGAGGCAGGGGGAGGATATGTGAGGTGAGAGTAGTGGATGTGGGACGTAGAGATAGGATAATTGGGAGGAGAAGGCCATTCGATTAAAGGGGGAAGAGTAAGAAGATGGGGAAAAAAGTAAGGAGAGGTGGAATGGGAAGAGGAATGTATAGGGGAGAGGAGTAATAGAAGAATTCCAATATTGAAGATTTAAATTTTAAGTTTTCCATTCATATACGAATGGATATCCTTGGCTGAGAATACTGTCTGTTTCAATTTTGTGCTTCTAACATTCCCGTGTGTGCAAGGACAATTGGCCGGGGAGTGACGCATACCACTGGCAGCGCGCGGGATCGAATGCGGGGTTACAAGGACGGCAAAGACAAGAACATTATACACACACCACCACACATCACAACATAAAATTCGCGATTTTGGCTCGTCATCCTTGCGCAAGGTGATCATGCTAATCTTCTCTGATGTTGTTCTAAATTTGGAGTATAGTGCACTGCCGAAGAAGTATGGAGAGGGGAAAGGGCAAAGGAAAGTGGGGAAATAGATGGGGAGAGAAGGAGGAAGGTGGGGAATAGAAGCAAGGAAGGAGAGAAAAAATGGAAAAGTAGGAAAATAGTAAACATATTATAGATATGTATAATAATGTTTATAATCATTGGAAGAGAGAGAGAGAGAGAGAGAGAGGAGAGAGAGAGAGAGAGATAGAGAGAGAGAGAGAGAGAGATGAGAGAGAGAGAGAGAGAGGAGTTGGAGGAGAAAGAAGGGCGAGAGAGAGGATTGAGAGAGAAAAGAGAGGAGAGAGAGAGAGGAGAGGAAGAGAGAGAAGAGAGAGAGAGAGAGAGAGATTAAGAGAGAGAAGAGAGAGAGAGATTGAGGTGAGAGAGAGAGAAGAGGAGAAAGAGAGAGATATGAGAGAGAGAAAGAGAGAGAGAAGTAGAGAAGAGAGAAGAGAGAGAATGAGAGGAGAGAAGAAGATATATAAAGAGTAGAGAGTAATAGACGAGAGAGAGAGAGCAAGTTAAAAAGAAGTAGCAGAAAGATAGTAACAAGAAATCTTTTCTTACTAGTAAATAAATATTGACGTAACTTGGCTCGTAAATTTTATTCTAAAGGAGGGATGTTCAAATTTCACAACGCGGGAATCTCACTGAAGGTAAAGTATTTTTTACGCACTATCTTCAGCACGCACACCACGCACACACACCACACAGGCTCACAAACCCCCACACATCGACATATAAACACACACATACACGTTTTTTACACGCACAGGCTCACACTCACACACACACGAGACCGTATAAAACACGCACAAACACGTTTTTAAATATTTTCTTTCGCACACCCAAACATAAGATTTAGTATGCACACTTAATGCACACTCGCACACCTAACGACACACCACACGACCAAACGCGCGCGCGCGCACAACACCACACAACACACACACACACACACATACACACACACACCACACACACACACACACACACACACATGCAACACACACCAACACCACACACACGCACACACGCACACACACACACAACGCCACACAAACACAACACACAAACACACATACACACACAACACGACACGCACACAGAAACTGTTGCAAAGTTATATTAAGGCTACCTTTACTCACCAGTTAAATCGATAATTAAAACACAATAAAAATAAGACTCCCTCCAGCAACACCACAAAGCCAAACACATTTTTTGCCCCGAAATCGCTTCCATTATGAAAGAAAATAATCCCAAAATTCATTAAACGAATCAAATTATGATTTTTCAAAATTCAATCGAGTTTTATTATGGACCAAGGAAAAAAAACTGACAAAGAGAAGCGAGAAGGTTCCAAAATACATTAATTGAAACTTTAAATAGATCTCACGTTATTAATAAGTCAGAATATAAAATAGGGGAAAGATTCATAGGACGGACAAACTCAAATATAAATTACTGATGCATATAGAAAAAAAGTAATTAATTACCTGTATATGTACACAGATTCAGGCAGCACACACGCACATACATATACATGCACAATATCCCTCTTTCTCTCTTCCTCTCATGTACACGCATACACATTTCCTCTCTTTCTCTGCCCCTCTTATACACACACTTACGCTCCATTTTTTCTTTCTCTCCCTCATGTACACACATACACATCCCCTCTCTTCTCATCATCCAATTATGCGCACCCCATAAACTCACTCTTCTTTTCCCCTCATCCTCATGCATATACTTTTATTTACATTTTCTCCCCCTCTCACGGCACACACAGATACTCACAGCTTCTAGGTCTTTTCACATATCACATCTCTACTTCTGTCTTCTCGTACTCCTCACACATCCCTCACATCCCCCCACTTTTACAGTTCTCTCTCTCTCTTCATCACCACACACACTGCTGCTTCTCCTCATCTCCTCTCCCTGTCTCCTCTACTCCTTCCTTCTCTCTCTTCTTCTCTCTTCTTCCACCTTCTTTCTCTTCCCCCCTCTTTTCCTCTCCTCCCTCCCCTTCTTAACCCCCCCCTCTCTCTCTTCTCTCTCTTCTCTCAGACACAATACACACATACTACTCTCTCTCTCAGAAATACACGACCACAATCTCTCTCCATTTTATTACTTACAACACACCACAAACATCACCACACACACACACACACATCACACATCACACACAGTTCCTTTAACACACAAACACACACACACAACTTCCTCGTACACACCACCACACACTAAACCACCCACACACACAAACACAAACAAGCACAAGCATAGAAACAGGGGGATCTGACAACCACCCCCTCCCTACACACACAACTCAATAATAATAAATGTCACTGTCCAAAATATATATTACAGTGGTGTTCCATTTAAAAAAGGGTTGACAGTCGTGCCAGGACGTGAAATCAATGATTTCCCTTTTTTTCAATATAAATATTTTTGCGACCTGATATAACTGTCTATAACCACAGGTCCTGTCATAGAAATGATATTATGAATGATGCTAATGGTGGTAATGATGATAATAAGAGTAAAGGTAATAAAGATAATAATAATAATGATAATAATGATAATGATAATAATGATTATGATGAATGCTAATGGTGGTAATGATGATAATAAGAGTAAGGTAATAAAGAAAATAATATAATGATAATGATGATGATAATAATGAGGATAATAATGATAATGGTGATAATGATAATAATAAGAGTAAAGGTAATAATGATAATAATAATAATGATAATGATAATAATGAGGATAATATTAATAATGGTGATGATGATGATACTGATGATATGATAATGATAACACTAATTATAATAAACTTTATAATGAAAATGATGAATGCAAATAATAAAAATTTAAAATAATAACAATGCTCATAATGATAAAATAAAAACAACAATAAAGACAATATAGTAATAACATCAAATAATAATTGATATAATTACAATAAATGATAATATATGATGATAATAATGATAACGATATAATAACTGTGATAATAATAGTAATAACGACGATATAAAATCTTAATAATGATAATGATAGTAATGAAAATAATAATTAAAGATAATAAAATAATTAAATAATAAAAAAAAAATGATGGATTGATATAAAACAAAATGATAATAATGAATAACTCGAAAAATAATTAATATAATAACGAGATATAATTCTAATAATGACATTGATAATGATGGTAATGAAATGACATGAATAACAATTAAAAAAAAGAGAAAATTGTAGTGATTATTATCCAAACAGGAATTCTAATTATTCCATAACGACCTTGACTTAATTCCATTACCTTAATCTTTTGGATTAATTTGCTACGCTATTGTTACAGTGACAACAATTACAGGAACAATTGTATTCAAATTTAAATTCTTTCATTATCATTTTTATTTCCTAATATAATTACTGTTATCATTACTATCGTTAAAATCAATCGTCTTATTAATATCATTATCATTATTATCTTAATCATTGTGATTATTCTCATGAATACTATTGTAGTCATAATTATTTTCATTATATCGTTGTAAAATGATAACTGCCATATATATACACACAACACATACACACACACACACATACACAATATACACACATACACATATTGTACACACAATACACACACACACCACAACACACACAACACACAACACACACACACACACCACACACACACACAAAGTGAGAACGAGACACACCTAAAAAAACACCCCATAAAAATTAAAGTCAAGAAAAAAAGCCCCCCCCACCTCCTACCCCCCCTCCCCCCCTTCTAAAAATGCAAATGCAGCCCCAAAGTTTGCCTGAAATGTAAATCTCGCTCGGCAAACAATGAAAAATTTGAAAAAAAAATGGTCATTTTGCGAGACCGACGGAGCGCCAGACCATTGAGGGAAGAGATCGGTCCGGTAACAATCTTTTTTTTTTTTTTTTTCTTTCTTTTTTTTTTCTTTCTTTTTTCTCTCTCTTTCTTTCTTTCTCTCTGTCTGTATTCTTACTATATCTCTCTCTCTCTGTCTCTGTCTCTGTCTCTCTCTCTCTCTCTCTCTCTCTCTCTCTCTCTTTGTCTGTCTCTCTGTCTGTCTTCTCTCTCTCTCTCTCTCTCTCTCTCCTCTCTCTCTCTCTCTCTCGTCTCTCTCTCTCTCTCTCTCTCTCTCTCTTCTCTCTCTCCTTCTCTCTCTCCTCTCTCCTCTCTCTCTCACTCCTCTTCTCTCTCTCTCTCTCCTCCCTCCTCCTCTTTGTTTACTGAAAACTATCTAAGTGCAAAAAAGTGTTAAAGCAAAGAATAGTGACCTACTTCCCCTTATATGAGCAAGTAGATAGATAGATAGATATAAGAATAGATACATTATATAGTATTAATTCTCTGTTTTTGATTGAGGAACTGGGTGAATCCTAGATATCCACCCCCCCCCAAAAAAAAAAAAAAAAAAAAAAAAAAAAGTCTTTCTTGTGTATTGCTTCGGGTGATTTTTTTTCTCCCTTTTTTTCTTAAAGGAAGAAGGTGGTCTTAATTCTTTGTTTGTTCTTTGAAATTTACTTCTGTGTGGATCTATTTGTTTACTTATTTTAAACAATTTACGTCTTTAAAGCTAATGAATCTTGTGTGAATCTTATATATGCGTACATTTTGTATTTTTAGAAATTCATCTATGTATATTTATGTATTATCCTATTAGTAAGTGAGAGTAAACAATATAGATTGTTTCTAAATCAAAGAAATATCGTGAAATTATTTTTGTTTATAAATCTATTCCTTTATCTACCTGCTTACTTATACCCCAGTCATTATAAGCCAAGACAATGTGTAGTTTATTATTACATCTTCATTCAATAAGTTAGGAATTCATCTTTTTATTTTCATTTTCATTTTTTTATCATAACCTCATTTCCGTGTTAAGAAAGTTGCCAGTTGTTTATTTAACTTATCTTCACTTTTTTCTAACTGGGATCAGACGGAGGTCTTTTGAAGGT